TGTTGATATCCCTGTCACCTTTGATTGCACTTGGTCAAAGAAGGGTTTAACTGCTAATCATTGTGTTGGCTCAGCCTGCAAAGACAAGCCTCATCATCTGGATGCTGTCTTCGAAGAGCCATTGCTAAAGATTTGTGAAAGATTAAGGGGGCCAGCATTGTTGCAAAGGTGTTTTCCTGGCTACACACAATGCCAATGAATCTATCAATTCTCTTGTTTGGAAAGTGTCCAAAGCACAAGTGGCATGGATCAAAGACAATAGGAATGGTGGCAAATGCTGCTTCCCTTCATTTTAGTTGTGGCGCAACTAAGAAACATGATGTTGTGAGGGAAGCAGGGCTTGCTGTGGGACAGCATACCAACAGAGCTAGTAAAAGAAGAGACTCAGGAAGAGTAAAACAGGCTGTGGAAAGAGTGCAAGAAAAGCACAAGAAATATAGGCTTGCAAGGAAACAAGCAAAAGCAAAAGAAGAAGAACTTCAAGTCAGGAGAGAAGGAACGACATATGAAGCAGGTGGTTTTAATGACATTGCTCCTGTCAGAGCCTCAAAAGAAAAAAAGGAACAAGTAGAGACAGTTGGGATAGATGTGAGCAGTGTATCAATGTAAATTTGTGAGTTTAAGTAAGTCAAGCGGCTCTAAGTAGCATCTGACTATATTGCTCATTTTCAACTTGTGTTTCTCAAATTATGGAAACTTTGTTGTTTTCGGACTTGCCCCTTAAAATATCTTAAGAGCATTTCAACATACTACCACCATATTTTGCACAGTTATAATAGATATTAAGGTTAACAAATTAATTGAGCCTTTTTTGAAAATTCCAGATAAAACAGAAGTTACAGTCTGATAAATAATCTCTGTCGACAAATAGTTGCCATGGTAACTACAGTTGGCAAAACCCCAAAAGGCTCAATTACTTTGTAGAGTGTGTTGAGTAAGTGCTTTGTACCAAGTTACAGCTCTATAGCTCTTTTAGAACACAAGAATTTCAAGGGGAAGCTAGAACAAGTAAAAAATTGTCTCCGGAATTCATTAGTTAATAATTAACTTTATTAAAGATTTTGGTGTCTGTTTATCATGTTGTCTTACTTATTAGTCATTGATGAATGCATGTGCTAAGTTTTGACTGTTTTCTCTCAATTGCAAATTTTTTTATGCATTATTTTATATGCAAGTGAATTTGCCCCAAAATGTAACCAGAATGCCCCCTTAAATACATTGACAATGTATCGGTAGTCTGGACATCCGTTTAACACAAAAAATGTTCTCATTAGCACTTTCATTCACACTTTGAGTCCAATCTACAGTTATGGTAAATACAGCAATGAAAGTAAGAAAGATAGGGTTTCTTAGAAACACAAGTAAGCCTCTAAGCATGAGGACACCAGCATTTTTTTCCAGCTAATCAGTTTCCCAGTGGTCCTTATTTTTTACCTTTCTGTTGCTCTATTTACTTAAAGGCAAATACTTCGCATATTATACGAATAAGAATTTATAGTAAAAATATGAGTAAAGAATGAAAAAATACAAAAACAGTTATAGTTATAGCTTTTTTAGAGTTCTTTGAATTTTTAAGATATCTTGAGACATCAATATCTGGGGTTTTAATTTAAGAACAATATATCATCTAAAATAATATTTCTTCTCAATGAAAAATTAGTGGGGAGATTTCTTGCCTGAAAGGAGTCAATACTTCGACCTAAAGTCCATCTTTTCTTTTTGTTTCTTTAAGTGATTACTCATATTTTATAAAATTGACTCATGGGGCTTCACGAGATTTAGACAAAGTTAAAAAAAAAAAAAAAGCTAAGAGACTACTTTTGCCGACCTTATGTGGGGGTACCAAGAGGTGACGGGGAGGCACTTCCAACATATCTTTCCAGGAAGCCTCGCAAGGTATCAAGGAGACCATGGATTTGCTGCCTTCCTACTTCTGTACATCACATCTCTTACTTTTGATTTTTTCCCTACATTTCAACAATGAGAACCTTTTGAACAATTAAAAACAGGAGAAAGAATACGATTTTCCTAATCATACGTTTTCCTGGCTCTGTATGGAGACCAAGTTCTACTTGAACAAATATAGTGTTTAAGCGGAAGTTATCATCACCCATTTTAATTGGGTGCTTTACTTAAAGCCTCAGAAAGTCACACCAAGGCATCGCCTGAGCAATATTGGGCGATCCACATTCTAGAAAAAGGCCATGGAGTCCATGTTTGGTTCCGAAATCAACTTTATTATTGTCAGCAGAAACACAGGAGACATCGAACAAACTAGCCTTATGATCCAGCTGACCCACCAAGCTTATCTGGCCACCTCCTAGAAGTTTGTTACCATACCACATTCACAACCCCACCCAAGAATTCCGAGTGGGCCGAATTTGTCCACATGCTTCTTCATCCTTTTTGTTACCAAATAAATAACAAACTTCATGAAGCACGAAACTCGCACTTGTTGACACATTTTCCCGAAATCTCTTCAGTTAAACCATTAACAAGTGCTTGCTCACAAGTTGACAGGGAAAAAGAATAGACCAAAGAGTGTTCAGCATGGGGTATCACCTCTATCAGCTACTTTGATGCCCTTGGCTCTACTGCACCTTCTACAATTTTAAAAACATGAAACAGTAGAAATCAAAGGACGAAGAACCTTTTCCCTAAAAATGTAAGAGTAAGACGAGATCCTTTCTCGAACAATTCTACGTAACAGGCATGACGAAGGATTTACACAGGACTTTTATCATAGCATGTTGCAGGCATCAAAAATAAGTGTTAGACGCTTCTCCAAAAAGAAGTTCCTCCAAGAAAACAACCTTGTGAATGAGATCTTTAATCCTTCAGAGTTATTATATACTTAGAGGATATAATGACACACTGATGCTTTTGGGATAAAAATAGTTCCATAGGAAAAATATTTAGTCATTAACTTAATTGCCTAGTCACATTGGGCACCATGAAAAAATTCAGCTTGTAAATAAAAGCCCTTTCAATGTTTAGTTGACGAATCAAACAAAAGTATTTTGATAATATTCTTCTTTAAATAGTTAATTATGCTCAGACAGCACGCTTGATCAGTCACTTCTTTTGTGAAAAGTTACCACCATTTTGGCTTGTTTCCTTTTTGTAATAATCAATGGTGTGTTTTCTAACGGCTTTAATAAGATTTTTTTAAACCCTTACCCATTGAAATTAGAAAAAGGCAATTCTTTTTCGTCATTCATGATGAATTCTCCCTAACACGTGCTACTACACCAAACTGGACAGATGCACTCCGAACAACTATACAATTTTCGCAAGCTAATTGACTATTGCCAACTAATCAGATAAAGACTTCACATTGGGTCTATCACAAAAACAGATGGAAACCGTCTTTTTACTTGTCGCCTATTCAAAGAAAGACTGAGTTATTTACTACAAGGTTATGGATTTTAGGTTAGATTTGGTTTAACGTGTGTAGTCTTGACTGAACTGAGCCTTCGAGGTAAGTCACGACGGCGTAACTCGTAATACTTTAGTCAAATTTGAATCAGTCATTAAGATTGACTGACCCTACGGTTCGTGATGAAAGTGACGTTCCAATCACATCATTCAAGAAAACATTAGCTACTGAGCTAAAATCTTCTGTTTACTTCTGTCTTGCCTTTTTATACATTTTACGTCACAGCATTTCACCCTTCTTCAAGTCTTCCCCCTCCAAAAGGGGGCTTAAGATTGAAGTGTCACAATCTAACAAAATACTTTTATGATAAGCAGCCTAGCCACGTTAGGTTCATGAGGCAAACCTACCAAACCACCCTGCTTGACCACAAGAGAACATCATTCAACAGTTGACCATTGCAAATCAAACAAATGTACTCAGCATATCACTTCAATCTTGCAACTACCATTTAAACATCTCAACTGACCACTATGCAACAACTGGTCTCCCGTGCGCCAAAATGGCATGTACCAGAGAGTAAATTAGTTAATCTGCTATCATTGATTTGAGGAAATGTCTGGAATTCAAGCAGCCTTGGATTCTAATTAAAACAGTAGATACATTTAATTTGCAGCAAATTATCACTTGATACATTTTAAGTATATTGGGGTGTGTTTGTTACCATGCGTATAAGCAGCTTTCAAAACTCGCAACGAACATTGAAGTTCACATTTCTTAGAAATCTATCATAATTCTCTTTGGAGAGTGTGAGCTGTTCCAACTTAACTGTGAACTATTTTTTCCAGGACATCAGAAAGAAAAAAACATGGCCTTTCACTCTCTTGTCGACACCACCAACGAGGATATTGCGCTCTAAAAAAGGCCAAAGATTAGACTTCTGTTGCCTGAAAGGAAAGTCATCACCTCAAAAAGTACCCCCATTCAGTGCTCTGGCCAGAACAGGTCTTAACTAAAATTGATTTTCCCAGGAAGAGAGAGTATTCAGCACCTCTAAGGCATGATTTTTCTCTCCAGTGAAAGAATCCACACAAAGAAACCCATGGAATCCAACCAAAGCACCTCATATGATTTGACAACGCCTTGGCACAGTGGCAATCTATTTGACCACAACCACAATCCAAAGCCAGTTTATCAATAAACTCTTAAAGAAATATAAGTGCCTCATTTCAATAATGTAACATTCCAACGCTGACATACTGATGCCCACATCAACAACCGTGATGCACTAATTTGACACCTGTTTCTAATGCGACCCGGCGAGTAAGAAGTCAATTTTATAAAATTAAAATTTCATTAAGAGTAGAACTAAATCTTTAGTGGCAATTAACTCTCACTCAATGACAAAAGAACCCAATATCAGATTTGACACAAATTTTGCTTCATAAAGTCTTGCAGAGGAAATTCGCGTAACACAATGAAGCACAATAGTTTCAAGAGCAAAGGTATATGGTGTCTTATTCTGTACATTTTCACACCTTCAAAGGTAACAAGGAAGCCTTGATAAGATGGTTCAACTTGAAGAGGGTTTTCTGACCACCTTACAGCATGCCGAGCTTGCCAACTACTAGTACAACCATTGGAAGTCATGTTAAATTCAAATGATTTAATAACAGAACAAGGATTTAATGACAAACAACTATTGCAGTGGCTACTTGCATGCAGATACAATATGGATATCAGTCTTAACTTTGATAGCAGAGTTCAGTGTAGCATAATTACATTTGTTTTCTTAATGTAAAAGCGCATGAACAAACGTAAATACTTCAAACAAAAATGCATTATCTGCCAAAAAATGGTAAAAATTATAAGTTGAAGTAGGATCAGTGTTCACATCCATAAATGAGGACAACTGTCTTTAATCCCTCAAACAAGGTACGTGATTTGATAATGGCCCACTGTCTTTAAGTTAACTTGGAGACCAGTAAATTGCCATTACCTGACATTTCCCTGGAAGGCAGAAAATACGGGATCAGCCGCCAAAACTCCTTTTACCTGCCTGCAGTGATTACAGTTACTCTTACAGCAAAAGTGTTTCATAAGAGAGAAGATTTGTTCAACCTTCACGTACCTGTGTGCGGTTGCTGTTGAGCCAGGGATTGCTTGTCAGGCACTCAACCATTAGAATTATACAAGTGAATTTTGCAGCTGTACTCGACAGCTAAACTGTGCGATACATCCCATATTTTTAAAGAAGGCAAACACAAGTAGTTCATCATAACACCTTCAATTCGTTTATAAAGGAAAAGAAGTATGATTTTCTTGGCTACCCTTGAAGACAATGTGTTACTCGTACCTGTTAACAAATAGATTGTTTACATTTCAACCGAAGAAAACGCAGCACTCCTGCTTCCTCCTTTGAAGCGTCCAGTTTTTGGGTTGGCACGGAACCATCTCTTGAGATTCAAGGAACTCACTAAAAGCTAAAAAAAAACATGACTGGTGATAGGAGATGGGCAAGATGATTGATAACATTGGTAAAATGTTTACCAAAGCAGCCTTCGCATCTTCCTAACAAACATTATAAACTAGTAACTATCTCATACTAGGATACATTTCCCAGCTTTGGCTGAGTTTCATTCATGAATGAAATAAACTGAACGCTTCTGGGTTCTTACCTCTTTGCCTTGTGCTGTGCATGATAGAGGTGGGTTGAACTCATCATTCAACACAGCTCTAACTTCTTCTAGCTTGGCCCAAATGACCTCCTCGGGTTGACTTCCCTTGTCCCTGGTATACAGACTGGGCACATCTAACTTCACTACGACTTTAAGTGGACCATAATCTGTGTCATTCAGTGGATTACCACCAGAAGACTCCGCTTGTCGATCAATGCACTCTTTCAGAGAATGTAGGTGTCTTTCAATGAAAAGCTGACATTCCAAAGCTGAAAAGCTGACGCCCACAGTTACTGTAAAAGGATTCACTGGACTAAAAGAATTGTGATATACCCCTGTGTACATACCCTTCTTAAAGTAAAACCGGGCCTGCCGAACATTTCCTGCCTCTCCAAAGCCTTTCACTAACTCTCTCACCAGTGATGGTTCCCATGAAATGCGTTTATCTTCCATGGAATTAAAAAGAATGGTGACATCATTCAGTTCCCTCTTTGAGATTAGGCCACGAATGAGTCGATTGTACAAGGCTTTCACCTCCCCAACATCTCCAGCTATATCCAATAGCTCAAACACATAAGCTAGTTCTTTGGTATTCAAGAAGTACTCACATAATGATACAAAAACTTGCCTCCTCCACTCAGTCTCCTCAGGGGTCAATGTTGTTCCATCAGCAGCACAAGCGTAGTTTGTACCACGAAGTACTTCCAAGGCACTGCTATGCAAAGGCTGACTTATACTAAGGCAAATGTCTGCTGCTGTAAGAGCCACTTGGCATGAAGTTAAAGGCTTTTTTTGTACTCCAAATTCCCCTGTGTACATCGCATAGTTTATGCTAAAGTTGTGTAAAACATGCAACACGGAGTACCCTTGATCAAAAAGTTGCTTGATGTACGTCAAGTACATTATTGCCACTCCTAACTCACCAATGAAGCGTTTGTCATCATCGTCTAAGGAAGCACTTGGACTACTGTCGGGTTCAGAGCTTGGCACTGTTTGTTTGAGGTGTTGGTGTATCTTATCACAAAATTTTCCAAAGTTTTCTCCCACAGTCTGAACAGAGTTTACTTCAAATGATTCGAAAAAGACTTTTAATAAGACGCCAAGGTCAACATCGACATCTTCATTCTTCATTGCCACATAAACAGAGCCTAGGTCTTCCCAGCTATTCTGTTCACTGGCATGCTGTAACATTAAGATTTGTAACACACGACTTATTAAGAACATTCATTAAAAACCAGTGGGGGACTAAAAGAATTATCTGTCCACATATCCACACCAGATTTTTCTCTGTACTTTGTCTTGACAAAATTCGACAATAAGTGGTATATACTGGCTTCTGGCGCCACTATTTTACAACCAATTTTCACTATTTTCAGCTAGTAAAGTTAGACAATTTGAAAATTAACTTTGATGAATGGCTCTTGTTATGAGCTTAAAAACCATTGACTAGTTTTATATAAAAAAATCTACCTTGATCCTTGGCAGGTAAAACTGGAGACTCTTCTTTGAAGGATACTGAAAGTAACTGGCAGGTGAGACTTCAGGTATAACAGGGGCAGAGCGTGTTTGGTGATTATGTTGGTCTGTACTTGAGCTATTAATGATGCCATCCATGCTGCGAGTCCTTCCTGATAGGCAGGGGGAAAAGGGATTTGTTCCAGTAAACTGGTTTGTGGCTGCAAGTTGGAAATTGCTAGCCGCATTTTCAATTGTTGTGCTGACCACAGGAGGGCCCAATCGCTTAGAGGAAAACGGTCCACCTAAATGAAGCCCCTCCTTTGTTGGAGTAATTCTTGGTGCAGTGTGCTGCTGATGATGTACAGGCCCAAACAAATCTGTTCCAATTGCCTGAGCAGGAAACGTACATGGATCCCTGTACACAAAAGGGTTACCTGGTTGGGTATGGTTTACTGCTTTATTGTTCTGTCCAGTAATTCCTCCTGCAAAAGGAAAAAATCATAAATACACTAAAAGCATAAAAGCTGAGTAAACAGGTTCTTCTTTACAAGGGGAGAGGGCCTAGCTGCTAAAGATACGATACAGAAGAGAAACTAAATAGAAATTGCAGCAAGGTTTGAACTTATAAGTTATCTAAGGATCTAGGTGATCTCTAAGTTATCTTTCATGACCACCTCCATACCCTCTCCAACGAGTGCCCTCAAAATCAAGCCTGGGAGTAGCTGCCATAACATTCACAAGTTCACCACTACAAAGCCCATCGACCACTCCTAATAAAGTATTGCGTCATACATTGTGACAGTTTATTTCTCGTAGCAGGCTTTAGAGTGCTGGCGATTTTACATTCAAGCTCTTTGAAATAACCCAAACTTGTGAATAGCAAAAAGATAAGAATACAGGGAGCAAGGATGGTGCAGTGTTGAGAGCACTTGCCCCCCACTATTATGGCCCAGCTTCGATCTCCAGATCTGGCCTCACATGTGGGTTGAGTTTGCTGTCGGTTCTTGTCCCTTCTCCGACACTTTTCTCTAGGTCCTTTGGTTCCCCCCCTCCCCCCCTAAAAGCCAACATTCCAAATTGCACATCGACCTGGAGAGAGCGGACGAGAAGAGCCATTACCACTTAATTCACATTTCCACTTTCTTCTTCCAGTGGTAGAATTGTAGTAACTTAAAGTATATCTACCTTGAGAGGCTGAATTCACATTTCCCTGTGAATAGTGAATAAACTGACAATTGTCACCATTACGGCAGCCTTGAGGAGTACTGAAGTAACGGCACTCCCTGCTAAAACTGAGACTCTCGGCTTTCGAACTGAAAAGTGAATATAAATTTTATGGGAAATGGGAAAAAATATGACTCCACTGATGAATATCGTTGTTCTTATTGTTGTGAAAGTTTACGACATTAATGACCTACATGTATTTCATTTCCACACATTTTCCTTTATTGAAACTTCGTGTGTATGGGAACTTGCAAACATAAGGAAAGTACATATTAATGGAAACAAGTTTTTCATGCACAAGTATTGTATGTCATGCTATCGCAGCTTTTCGTTGGTACGACATGATGTACTGGACTATTATTGAGAGGAATATAAGAAAAGACATACCAGTATTTAAATCCCGTGTTAAAGTTTATAATTGACACACCTGTTCAAACTGGGAACATCTTCATTGCCATTGCTTTCTGAATGTTTTGCAAGGTAAATATGTCTCATAACAGCATAGGGCTGAATAGAGGCGACAGGATTTTCCACCCACTTCTCCAAAGATGAAATCATCTGTTTATACACATTCACTGGAAGTACAATTTTGGCAGCCTCAAGCTGTAAATGACAAAAAAAAAACGGTATAGGGTCAGTAATCTTAATATGATGTGGGAAATTATCAGACGCAACTTACTGGGCGCTCTCTTATGTACTTCACAGTGTTAATCAAACATTATGCATGATTTTCATGCAACTTTTTCCATGAACATTTGCACGAGTACTTAAGCACACCAAGAAATTACAGGGGAAAAAAGGAAACATGATTAAAAAAAATTAAGAAAATAGAAAGGACAATAGAAGCGAGAAATATAATGTGTGAGGTCTCCTTACATTCATTCCGTAGCTGCCTTGTTGCCTCCGGCCATTTTAATGCTACTTTGCAGTGCTTTCAATAAGATTTGAAATAGGTGGCTACCTCGGTACAACACCCGCCGGAGAGCGACTTGATTGCGACTTAGCATGGCGACTGCGGCTTGAGCGCGGTGAAATATACCCGGTGACTCGCAACAGAATAACCGCCAGAGCTCCGGCGGGTGCAAGGTCTTAATGAAAGCACTGACTTTGTCAAATTCCTTTATACACAAAACAAGGCTGTTCGCGAGGCGCCTCACAACAAAGTGATTAAGTCAGGATGGGTGGAAAAACGGAGCGCCTCTCAGGTTCATGCAGGGAATTTGGAAACTTCTGCTGCTCGAACAGGTAGGTATTTGAAATTCACTCTCACCAGTGCCAGTTCAAGGGAGATTGGTCAACTTTTGTGGAATTTATTGGTTTTCACGTGGCGACAATTAGTGCTTGGGAATGGTTCAACTGACCAGCCTTCCCTATTTTTCAGGAGACTAAACACCTTAATTAACAACCTTAATTTGTTAGGTACTCCCCGTTAATGACCTTTACACCCCAAAATCACACAGTATGCTGGGGCTGCCTGTACTCCCACATGCAAACTTCTATGTCCCATTGTCACAGACAAAATGTGTCGGTGCATTTTGAAAGGGACCCAGTCAGTCAATCTAGGCTGCAGTCAAAGTAATTTCAAAAAGTCATTTATTGATACATGTACCTGATGAAAGAGCTGCAGAACACCTCTATAGTTCTTCTCTTTGTCAAGTATTTCAATGGCAGACTGCAGCACACTGTCTTCAGGCTGAGTAAAACATAATATATAGCTCACAGTGAGACCTTTAGCCTAACAAGCCAAGATTTCAACCTTTAAAAGTTCACGTAATTTAATTCTAACCTCTACTAGTTTTGCTCGGAGATTTAGAGGCAAAAGTCACCTAATGTACCACCTAGGGGTCTTCCACTACAAAGATGATATTTGTGGCATTTAGAAATTCATGTCACATAAACGCATTTCAAAATCCTGAATTAGAGTGAAAGAGGACATGCGTTTACATTTACTGAATGATGAAGAACAAAATAAAATGATGTCACTTGTCTATACAAGTTCAGTTTTCTAACTGCGTGTGTACTATATGCACTCGAAGCGTATGCAATTCCGAACACTTGAAGCATACACACAAGTGGTACTGACCATGTATTTCTGGAGACTTTATCAAATTCAGAACTGAGGGCACTGCGGTTTTACATTACATGAAAGAGTTATAAGGGCAGAAAGATGACTAACTCACTTTGATCCAAGACTCCAACATAAAGTGGAGTACAGTAAGCATACTGGCTGAGTCCCCAGCCTTACATAAAGCTGTTGAGAGTGCAACCAAACCACTTGCAATAGCATGAGGCTGTTCAAGGACTTTTGGATCGTCCTTAACCTTGTTGAAGAGCTCCAAGGCTGCAATCCACTTGTTGACACCACATAATGCACTCATACAGTTATCAGTGGACTAAAATAGGAGAAGAAGAAGAATGGAGCATCCTTTCAAGTCAAGTCACTTAGTGAAAATGCTTACTTTGGAATGTCTTATATTGCAATAAAAGAAAACCAAAACATCAAGTCCATCAAACCTACAAAGACCAACCTGTGGTTCAAGAGGTATTCCATTCTGGAGCATCAAGGAACAGACGTTCTGAGCAAATGAAACATTGCCACCTTGTTCAAGACAACAAGCCTCCAAAAGTGAATTCCAAACCTATTGCAAAATGCACAGCAAGTACAAAACCCTTTCAAATGATGCTTGCAGCCAGACGATAAATTAGACTGAAGTGTCAGAGACATAATATCTGAGGTGTTCACAAGACATCAGAGATTGAATTATTTCAGGCTACTTAACAGAATTCTCCAACTAAATTTGTTGAACCTGGCTAAGAGCTCTTATTCCAGTTCTGCGTACATGGTTTAGTTGGACAGTGGTTCCCTATATTAGCATATGCAAAAGAGAGGCTATTGGGTCAAGCTTCCCTGAGGACTACAAGACATGCGAAGACAATTATAAGCATGGGCATCAAAATGCTAACTCATTTCCAAAATCAGCGTTTTTATCAGCCGAAGAGAAAAAGATTATTAGGCGATCATTTTAAAGTAACTTTACAAAAGAAAGGCCAAAGGAATGGCTAAGTATCTGCTGTGCTGTTTATTGTCCAATTAAATGTACTTCCCAGTTTTCTTTACACTTCTAAATGAAATAGGAAACAAAGAAATAAGTAACAGAACAGAAGAGATGAATCTTACATCAGATCCAAGTTCAACCAGGGTTCTCGCTGGAGTCACTCCAAGTGCCCTAGTGACCACTTCAATCCATTCTGGTTTCTGAAGTGCAGTCATCACAGCTCCTTTCAAAACTACTGCTGGTGTTGCTAGTGGGAATACTGGAAGTACCAACATAATCTTCTCCCAGTCATTCACTTGTGACAGAGTGCTAAGTGGATTGAATGTAATAATAAACAATTCATGTGTGTGAAAGCCATCCTTGCAACAATGAACACTACTTATGTAACAGTGAAAATAAGGCCTGAATATAGGGATCTGCTGGTAAGAGCCATGCATCGCTATGCAGATGTCATGGGTTCAAATCCTGTATGGGCCAAAACTTTTTTCAAGTCTTATTTTCACTACCACATGAGTAGTGTTCATGGCTGCAAGGATCACTTTCAAACATTTTTTAATACTGCAGTACACTTACATGCTTTTCATATAATCAAATCATTAATTCATCGCTTCAAGGGTTCCACACCAGCCAACATATTGGCCTGCTCTCAGTTAGCTTGTTATCTCAGTTGGTAGAGCATTGCACTGGTATAACAAATGTCACGGGTTCAAATCCTGTACAGGCCTGAATAATATTTTTCAGGCCTTATTTTTACAACATATTTAGTAGTGTTCACTGAATAAATGAATGAATGAAAAATTTTATTTATGTGTCAAATCGATCTAGCCGAGGGTAAGAAACCCTCTACTAATAGGGGACACCTAAACTCAATACAATAAGTTAAAATTCAACTAATTTAACTATTTACAATAGATAAAATTTAAATACTTCATTAACATTAAGAGCTAAAAATTTAAACTACCTTATTTAATACTCATTGTTAAATCAAATAAAACAAATAGAGCATTCTCTGAGCCAGCTAACTGTTCAGGTGCTACATAAAACAGTTCTTACAATCGTACGAAAGGTTAGTTAAACAGATCTGTTTTTTAAAAGATTGTAGTGAAGATGAGGTTTTCATATTAGTTGAAAGTGGATTCCACAGCAAAGGGCCAATTTATCTTAGGGAATTTTTTCCATAAGTAACAGTATTAAATCTAGGAATGTGGAAATCTGCACCTCTGAGATTGTAAGTGGAACTTTTCAATGAAAACAAATTTTTGACAGTCGGTGGGCACAGATTATGCCTCACTTTAAACATCAAACAAGCTATATCCTGTAGCCTTCTTTCATAAAGAGATTTTAGATTAGCCTTCTTCAGTAATTGCTCATATGTAGATTTACTATCTCTGAAGACTGCACACAAACCCCTCTCCTACATACGTTCAAGTTTTCTCTAGTCACTTGTTCAGCAAATATGCCAGGTGGGGTGGCAGTAGGTGAGGTACTGGAGGATAGCAGCCTTAAAGAGGTGTAGTTGAGCAACAGTGGGCACTAAGTTTTTTCCACTGCTGCAAGGACTGCCTTCATGTCTTACAAGCGTAGTATACATATGTTTTTCACATATTCAGTTCATTAAAATAATTCAGATGTGGGCTAACCAATACATGAACATTTTTCTTCACAACATGGAAAATTTAGTCCATACATGGAAGTAGGTAGCATTTACAAGTACAGATTTGTCATTGTTCTAAGGATGTTTTCCCAATAGAGGTTTAGCTTAGCTTGACTGACAAATAAGTGATTTGGCTTCATCAACTGAGTTGATTATGTAGATTGGCCATCATTAGGAGTTTTCAGAGCTGGTGTTTCAAGTGTTTTCCCTTTGCTCTGATGAAGGGCTTGCTCTGACAAATAGCTAATGCTTCAAATGTCAGCTTTAGAAAGTCTAAACAATGGACAATTAACTCAGTTGAAAAAACCAAATTTTCTTGATTCACCCCCCACTGACACCTTTTATTCATTTGACAAAGAAGTAGATTATTTCACCTATTTCTTTGGCTGAAAAAAAGAAAAACAAAATCATTGAAGTTAATCAATAATTTCCTTACTGGAGCATTGCAGAAACAGCATCACTTGAAAGTTGTACTTTACACTGCAACGCTTCCTACAAATACAACATGAAGATGACATTAATACCAGTAATACTGAAATAACAAAAACCTCAAGATATTATCCTCCAGTGGTTCCAATAAATTTCTTAGGCAAGTATTAGTAAACTGCATGTACAGGTTGGTGAGGTATGCCAGGACTAAGTTATATGTACATCTGTGATTCTTACCTGAAAGAGTAACCAGGTCTTCTGAACAAAGTGTTCTCCACTCTTACAGCCAAGAAGTATGAGATCATTGCAGATCCTACATGAAAAAAAATTAATGTGTCTATTTGTAGAGATGTAAATGGACAAGATTAACCATGGTACACCTAATAAAACTTGTTACATGTACTTACCCTGACTTGAGTAATCCTGACTGCTTGATCTCATGCAACAAATTAAAAGCCCTGATAATGAAGGCATAATAGAGAGGTTAATAATGAGAAAACATGGAGGTCACTACTGCCCTTAATATATATGTGCAGATAATGTACATTAGAGAATGAAAAATGCTTTACAACACCCTTTAGTGTATTTTGATTAGAAAAAGACACATCTTTCAGAGTCCACCATTCTCTAAAGGATCCAGCATATTGGGTTTGTATCTTTTTTTTAACAAAAAATTTCAAGAATTTTTCCAGGACTCTGGTGGATTTTTCCAGGATTCCAAATTTTACCTTACATCTTTTCAATCCCAAGACTTCAAAATCAACTCTGCTTATGGTCTACATAATATTTCTTATAACATAAATTCTGAAAACTTAATTGCTTGAAGGAGATTTCCAGGACTTTCCAGGACTTATATTCTTTTTCCACCACATTTTCACCCTAGATAATGTTAAAATAAAATTCCAGGCCTTTCCAGATTTTCAAGGACCCCCACAAACCCTGAGTATACCCATGATACAGCATGAACAGGGAAACAAGATTTATTAATTTTTCCAGACCAACTTAAAATCAAAGGCTCTGTGAGCCAACTCGTGAATTGGATAAGCCAATGTAATTTGTGTAGTCAATAGAAATGGGGGTTTGATTTCCATACTAAGGTATGAATTGTTAGACTGGTAAATGAGCATTATGAGGAATATGATGTGAAACTAAATTAGGCCTCAAAGACAGAAAATATGATCTGACTAGGATTTAGTGCAAGACAATCACTGTTCTAGATTTTACTGTAAAGGTTTGTGGAATGGAAGTTCAAAAGGGTGCTGTTTTGTTTATAATAAAACTATTCTTCCAATAGGGAGCTCAGTATTTACTTGCGATGCAAGCATAGGGATAGGCATGTAAAATCTTATGCGCTGGATGGAACGCACAGACATAAGGATAAGCATATATGCATATGATTATCAAAACATTGCCTTCTTTTTATGCTTATACTGTCTAGTTGAGACTTGGTTGGTATAAGCATAAGGATTAACATAAGCGAAAGACTTTCAGGCAATCAGCAAGCACTACACTGCTTACACCAACCATGTCCCTATTTAAGATAACATCGACTGAGCGCTTGTGCTCATGTTTATGTTGCAGCTGTGCCCATGCACCAGCACATTAGCTTGTTATGTTCATGCCTATGTTTGTGTTGCAACTGGGTACTCCCTTGAAGCCTGTTTCGCACTTCTGAGGTAATTATTAGCACGAGAATGAAAACAAGTACAAGGATGTTCACACCACTCTAAAGTTTGTTTTTCGAAATTCTTATTGTAAGTCAGTGGATACAAGGATTTTTTCCTTACTTTGAGAGTCATTTCCTTGAAATGCAAGGATTAAGATTTCCGCTTTGAAGAATTTTATACTCTCCAATGAAAGTTCCTCAGTTCAAGAATACCACCATTAAAAGTTTTACATTCCTTGTTTTAAGAATTATGACTTTGAATTCTCATTTTAAGGATATTGAATAAATATCTCAAATCCATGCATTTAGCAAGTATTCCTTCTATGTAGAAAGGTTCTTCCAACTAGATTTATGATAAATGCTTGCCAAAATTTCAGAACTATCTGTGGAATTGTGCTTGTCAAATTCCCAAGGAAATATAACCATAAATATAATTTGAAAACTTTTTTACATTAACTTTTCTTTTAAACAACAACAAACATATGAAACATATGTGTGAACTGCGGTTATGAGACGTATATGAGCACGATCCTTCGCAGTAAAGCACTATTTGAGCAATAGTAAAAATCAGACCTGAAAAAAAAAAAAAATTTTTTTCAGGTCTGATTTTCACTATTGCTCAAATAGTGCTTTACTGCGAAGGATCGTGCTCATATACGTCTCATAACCGCAGTTCACACATATGTTTCATATGTTTGTTGTTGTTTGATTTATCATCTACGGGTTTATATCGAATTAATTTGATGGCCTGCTCCCAGTTGGCTTGTTAGCTCAATTGGTAGAGCGCTGCACTAGTATCGCAGAGGTCAGTGGTTCGAATCCCGTACAGGCCTGAAATTTTTTTCAGGTCTGATTTTCACTATTGCTCAAATAGTGCTTTACTGCGAAGGATCGTGCTCATATACAACTTTTCTTTTAACACACTCAATATCTGCGTTTTATGAAACAAGACCACAGTTTTGAGTGTTCCTAGTTTAACCTAAATATAAAGCATTAGGAACATCCTTGTTGCATGTAATTCACAAAAATTTTTAATTGCAAATGACAATCAAAGTGGTTGTCAAAATAAATCAAATTTATAACTTCCAGAAGAATAAGCATGGAATATAAACTGCTACCATTTGTAATTTTTACTTACAATCATGTGATTATAGTACGAAAAATTACTGAACCAGAGAAAAGAATCTCAAACTAAATATAACCCACTAGTTGACAGAATTATAGTCACAAACCAGCAAGGATATTCATCCTTGTAAAGGATTGTTGTTGTCACTATCAACTTTTTTTTGTTTTAATCTTCAATATGATTTAAAAGAAAAGTTGCTGTATCAATTTCTTGAAGAACATTTCCTAGGTGTAAAGCACCTATGGCGTACATTTAGGTACAGGCAAATCTGTAACAAGATTTTTGACAAAGAGAAAGAGTAATCTTCAGTATGATTCAAAGGAAAGGGTACTATACCTATTCCTTGAGGAATTTGTGTTTGTCATGAAGCCGCTATATACTGTATTTTATTATCGGTAACTCTGCATGAAGATGTTTATTGAACGGTTAAAATTTCGGCATATTAAGTTAACATGTAGCTGTGCCATTTCTTAAAGAATTGGTGTTAGGTATAAAGCCATGTCCCTTTGCTGTACTTTTGATCTACAACAAATGAAGTGAGGTGTAACTTAAGTCTTGCTTCAAAATAAAACTTGCTGCTGTGCAGGTATCTTAAGTTCAAAATAATGTAAAACATTTTAAAGAAAGCACAATTTGGGTTGATTATGTCAGATTAAGAGTTGTTGTTGAGTTTGTAGTATGGCCTGGCTAACCTGTGTTACATGCACAAAATATTAACAGAAAGAACCACTTCCTGGAGTTAAGATCCTTGTCTCGAGGACATAGGGATGATGTATTATTTAACAATCTTTGAGGAGTAAGTGCTCTCTTTTGAGATCTTTACTTACTCATTTTGAAAAAAATAGGTCTTACTATGAGAAACTTCAGTCACCTAAAAGTAAGGACTCTGCTATCAGTTGTCACTCAGTTGTCAACTGCCAGCAGTTGTCACTCACTGTCAGTGCAAATTCCTTGTTTTGAGAACTGATAATTACACTCATTTTTAGTGATATCAATCGCCATCTTTAGAGCTTCCTGTTCCTCTTTCCAGGACGCATTTTTAAGAAAAAAAATCCTTAATTTAAGGTATCTAGAAACATAAAAACTTAACAGTGCACTAATAACATATGCATAAACAGTGTGAGTTACACCACTGAAGAAACAGCATATCGATTGATTGAACTTATGCTTGAGCTTCTTTCAATGCAGTTTCCACTAGTAAACCACTTTCTAACGTCGATACAGCTCCAGTAATACCAAACAAGCATCAAACAAGTCACTTTACGAGCAGTTGGCCGTGGGCGACACTTCAATATCGGACTATCGGCGAGCAGCGACTCGAGTCGTTTGAACCCGCGGTTGAAATTACCAAAAGATCAGCGTTTTAAATGTAAAATTTATAATTAAATAAAGTTTCGAAACCGTTCTTCAAGGGGCTTTGGTGGCCTTACGGTAAGAAGCAGGTGGTTGATGACTCTCAGGGTCGTGATGTAGTTGGTTCAAATCTGCCATCCTTGAGTAAATTTTGCATTTTGCTTAGCTTGCTTTCTTTGTTTTCTTTTTTTCTTTTTCGGACACAATAATCGTTTTCCTGGAGATATACATTTAAAAATAGAAGTATTGACGCCATAAATGAAATACACGCTGCAAGATATAGAAGTGTATTCGGAGATTGGGCAAACTTCAATTAATTCACAAATGAAAAATGTATACTTTTTTACTCTTTCAAGATTATCATTGGCTTCTTTTTCACCCCAACACTATTCTTAGCAACAGAGGTCACTATTTCGTTTGTTTATCACTTTTCAAAAACTATCAAATGCATTCAAAAGCCTAAAATAGAAAAAAGTTTACAGGAATCGACCAATCGAGCGAGTGCCATTCATCGTATCATACCTACAACTCGCTCTTGTACATGCGCGCAATTCACGCGTGAAAAAAGAGGCTCCTACCATTCAGGGTCTTTGGCAGAAGCTTGGATCAAATCGAGAAATACTTCATATGTTGGCATGTGGTTACTCCTTTTCATGACATCAAGCATCTCATAAGCTCTGTAGTAACAAACCAAATCACTTCCTAAGAATTATATGTATTATAATAATAATAATAATAACAATAACAATAATAATAATAATAACAATAATATAGTTTGTTTCTGACCACTTGCAGCTTAAGGCGGAATTACTGGTAAAGTGTATACACAATACATATGAATATAATACAAACAATATATTTACTACACAGGCTGATACTTAATGGTAGCAAAATTTTACAACGCCCAGTTTTTACAAGCATACAGTGACAAGAAGATTTTCCTGATCGCAGACACATTTGCATTGTAATAATAATAGTTTAATATTTGTAGTGCACAAATTCCATTTACATATGATCAAATGCACAGTGCTGTGAAGTACTCGCTCATGAATACGGGGGTACAAGGGGTGGCCTGGGCGAATTTTACAGATAAACCGCTCGCATGCATCTGCGCAGCAGGCCAACAAGGACTGAATAGCGGCCTTTTCAAGCGCGTGTTCGTATTAAAGGTCAGGCCATATAATAGAGAGAGCCCTTTTCTTGACATCTTTCAGTGCGTTATCCAGGTACTTTGGCAAGTCAGCAAACACAGCTGATGCATACTCCAATATAGATCTTACAAACGCACAGTATATGGCAATGATGTCTACAGGAGGTACACCACTCTTATGCAGCTGCCTTAATGCAAAAAGTCTACAATTGGCCTTCTTCACCAACCAGTAAATGTGCACAGTCCACACAAGATCCTCTGAAACGTATGCTGAGGAACTTAAACGACAAAACTTGCTCTACAAGGGATCCGCCAACCATGATCGGCATGGGCACACAACTATTATAGTGACGAAAGTCAACTGCGAGAACTTATTAACCGCAAGAACAAATTAAACATTCCTACATTACTGTAGCACAACAGCAGTATTGAAATCCCATTTTACTTGGAATTTCAGCAGCTACTGATCAGCTGTTGGCCTCTCACAATTTGCTACAAATTTTTAAATTGGAATAATGTATTTCCATGATAAAAGCACCCAAACTCTAATAACCACCCTTTCTAAATAAGCACGCACCCACTAGACCATTGCATGCATGTCAAACAATCACCCCACCTCAAACAAGCACTCTTCTCGAATAAGGGTGTCCCTTCACTCCCACCTGCATCCTTCCTCACTTTCTTAAATAGTAGAGATACAAGGAAAACCTGTTTCTTTTGCTACTTTGAAAACTTTTGAAGCTTCAGCTCCCAGGGGCTTATTCAAGTAAATAAGGTAAAAAATCCCTGCATCAACTATTACTTTCAATAACAATACCTGATATATTGTCCTGCATGACACAATGTTCTGATGAGTTCAGTGTAGTCGTGACGATGATGCTGTCCACTTACTCTCTTGATGGTATCAAACGCCTTATGGGCAACCTGGTAAGATTACAAATTTCACTGAGAATTGCTCACACAATTCACATGTATCTGCATAAAACATTAAACAAAAAACAACAACAATGACAGTAACTGCTTAAACAGTACCTATTGTGCATACCTAACTACACAGACACATTTCATACACTTGGACGCTGAACAGTAAGATGGGTATAAACGATTCTTATGCGCACACAGCCAAAAAAAACATGTACAACATTTTTGTCCTTTGTTACCGTATTTACCCATGTATAATATGCACCCATGTATAATAAGCACCCTTGCTTTTAACCAAATTTATCAGAAAAGTTTTTCACAGCAAAAAGACAATGTAAATATTCATACAATTATTTATCAAGGCAACAAGAATAAGAAATTTACTATAATTATCATTAATACTAATATCTTTTGCTACTTAGTTATTCATGACAATATTGAACCCAAACTTTAGGACTTCAACCAAGACCTAGCTAATTTAACGATTCCGTGGCCCAATAAATATTACTAGTGAGCAACAATATGTCTGAGAAGTAATGAAGATTTTGTGTAAAATCATTGTATTTGTAGAATTTGACCTACTGCTATGCAATGTTTTGGCTGTAAAATCCAGTAAACAACAATACAACCACGATTAATTCCACTGCACACACTATACATGTTAAAAATTCACATGTTTTTCACTTAAAATGGCAAATCAAGAACTGCTTCAAGTAAAGCTTTTGTCCGGACCCGGCATCAAAAGTAGATTGATTTTGTTGGTTCTCTACTCTGCTCTGAGAGGTTTTTCTCAGGGTACTCCGGTTTTCCCCCCTCCTCAAAAACCATCATCATTTTAATTTATTTAATTTAGAGTTTATTTCCATTTGCACACGACCCCACAAGCCGTTCAGCTTTAAACATTATTGTGTCTAAATAAAGGTATTATTATTATTATCATTAGTGGTTTTAGTCTTTCCTCTACATTTTAGAGTAAAAACTTAATATGCACCTATAATTTTTCATTGAAAATAAGCCATTCAATTAAACAGTGCTTTCTGTAAGACCCAGCACCCACTGGTGCTTCAGTGGGCATTCTGTTGAGTCGCCGGGTATATTTCACTGCACTCAAGTCGCAGTCACCATGCTAAGTGGCAATCACGTCACTCTCTGGCAGGTGTTGTACCAAGGTAGCCACCTATTTCAAATATTTTTGAAAGCACTGTTAAAGCTTTAAATGTGTTACTTTCTTTGCTGTGTTTTTAACATATGCAAATTTGGAGGTGCAATGGAATCCAGGTATAATAGGCACTTCAATTTAGATGGTTATTTTTATAGAAATAAAATGCGTATTATACACGGATAAATATGTTATCCAGTGCTATAAATTTCCTTTGTGTTACATTGTTGTGTAAAACAAAGAACATTTAAATTTTCAATGACAAGAATCACCACAAGGAAAAAAGGTGCAAAAATTATTTAACATAGCCTAACTTAGCTTTACAGTAACACAAAGCTTTTTAACAGACCCACAGCAACATGTAATAAGTATATTTGATTATCATTCAATAGAAGAAAGAACTTAAAGCAGGTTGCTGCAGAAGCTGTTACCTGGGCAGCAATGTCAGGTTCTTCTAGGTGTTTACTACACATGGCAAGGATCTGTCTCACCAAATCCAGGTCAGGTCTGTTTGTTCTCTGCAGTTTCTCGACCATTTGCCAAGCAACATCTTAACAGGAAAAAAGTTTTAAAATTAGCAAATTCCTAGCAGAGGACCCAATGAAAACAGAGCAAGATTTTGGGTTTTTTAGGGTTTTTACACTTGATTCCAATTGGCCAACATTGTGTCATAGAAGCACTCCAAAATTCTTACGTAAATTGTTATTTGTCAGCTGGTCTGCAATTAAGTTGTAGGATGCCACAGGAACTTCCTCTACAAAAGGAAAAACAAACCTTAGCTTAGACAGTCTGGTAAAATGCATCTGATTCAATACAATGAAGAAGTGTGATACATGAAACATAGTAATGAAGGAGGTTAAGTTTCTAAAGGAAATTTGGTGCTGCATAAGATGGGAGGGGTGGGGGTATTACTGTACAATTTGGTTTCATCAACTGAGTTGATAATGTAAATTGGAAAGCAGGTTGGGGTAGGGGTAGGTATCCAGTCAAGTCGCCGAAGGTTCAACTCACCAACGCCAACTCACCAACGTATAAAACAGAGTAGAGACGTCAGCGAGTTGGTCCTCAATCCACTACGACTTATTAGAAGTTAAACATGTAGAAAAGTAAGCGACCATTAGTAAAAAAAAAGACATTCTTTTTCTTCCAACAAAATTTAGAAGGATGTCAACGCAAATAAAGCATAATAAACATCGCCAATTACTATAGCAGCTTCAGATGCAAATGAGTTAATTATTGTGACAACAACACCATAAAGATTCATTATGTCAATCGGTCAGATATTCTTCAGAAAACTTAGACTTTCAAGACAAGAGCTTTAGTAAAAACCAATTCTTTTTATTTCCGAAAAAGTTTATAAGTCTCAAGGCTAACAAAGCAAGACAAACATCACAAATTACCCTAACAGCTTCAGACACGAACGAGTCATTGTGGACAACAGCGCCGTAAAGCCTTATCATGACGATCGCTTAGATTTTTTTTAGAGAAAACTTAGCTTTCTAGACAAGATCTTTAGTAAAATGCAATTCTTTTTATGTTTAACAAAGTTTTTAAGGATTTCATGGCGAGCAAAGAAAGGTAAACATCACCAATGACTAGCCTCGGACGCAACCAAGCTAGTGTGACAACACCGTAGAGACTCGCCATGTCGATCAGTCAAGATCTTTTATGGAAAACTTAGCTTTTAAGTCGAAATATTTTTAAAAAGAACGATTCTTTTAATTTCTAACAAAATTTTTAAGGATTTCAATGCGAATAAAATAAGATAAACATCGACAACGACTGTAACAGCTTCAGACGCGAACGAGTGGTAACCAGTCGAGTCACCCAAACGTGATCTCACTCGAAGTCATGTTGCCCAAAACTCATAGTCCTGTTGCCCGATATTTTGCCTCGCATCACCTTAACTTTTATCAAGTGCTTGACTTTAAGTAAAGTAACATCTTCAGTAAATCGTAAGGAATAAACACGTAAAATGTTATGGTTCGCCAAATGTTGCAAAATTCAACAACTTGCGTATTCATATTCCACAACTTATATTAATGCTCAACAAAATATATTTTTGTTTCACAGTTTACAGTTATATTCAACAATTTATATTGATGTTCAACGACACGCATTTTCTTTTCATATTTAACCAAAATTATTTTCATTCAACAATATTTATTCAACTTCAATAGCTATATTTATTTTACTCAACAAAATTAATTGTTCAACTTCAGTCCAAACTTTTTACCCAACAAAAATGATTATTCAACTTCTACCAAGCATAGTTATTTAATGACATACCTTCTATTATGACTAAGTGTTTGAAAGTTCCCGGACATTCAAAACATCGTCATTTAACAAAATTCCCCCCCCTCCCCACCCCCAAACTGCCCCCAACCATGAAACCCATTCCCTTCCAATACAAAGATTAATGGACTGGAACCCAATCATTCTATTTGCGCCAAAAATCAAAATGGCAGCCATAACACTGAACAAAGATTCATTCTTCAATTGCTTTGAGGATGTTATGAGCTTGTTAAATGTTTGTGATGAGGGAGAAGACAGTATTTACCGACCATTTATAGAGGGTGATCAATTGCTTAGAATCAGTGGCAAAATTTGTCAAAAACGTGTTACTGATTGTAAACAAGTGCAAAGGAGAGTTGACTGAGGTTGCTGGAAATTTAAGGGTTTTGTTCCTCAGTTGGTGCCGAAAATTGACAGAACTGGGGTTAAGGAATACTCCAAACTGTACTCACTTAGCAGTATATCTGGTACTTAATTTTGTCACTGAATTCATCTGGATATTTGAGGTACTCTCTAACTATCGCTGGTGTCAGCTCAACAGGTTTAAAGGTGAACACACTCTCAAATAAATGTGGGTGCTTTGACATCTCATCAAGAACACCAAGGGTAATGAATCCTTTCCTCAGCGTGACTGGCCCAGGGCTACCATAATTTCCAGCTGTTTACCCACACGGCCGACTACCTGCACCGGCCAATTATTGCATACAGTGAAAAAAAAAGGCAACAGATTACCTGCACTGGTGGATAACCTGCACATTAAAAGCAAAGAAAATTTGTACAAAAAGGCTCTAGAATTTACGTTTCATACTTGACAAAATATGAATTCGTGGCCCCATTTTGTGCGAGCAATCATTCAATGCCACATTGAATTGTCAACTTCTGGAAAAAAATCGATATCACTGCTTCTGCTGGGCTTAGCAAGTCCATTAAACGGGAAAATTCTCTTCAGCTCAAGCTAGTGCTACCTTGAAATTTATTACTGATGTGCCAGATGCCCTTGGACTATTTTTGTCACAATCAAGGTTTTCTTTACACACATGCCGATAAAAATTTGTACATTGCACAACTAATTGTGTGTGAAATAAACTCAAGTGGCCATCATGTTTTGGTGCCACTTTGTGGCACTCTTAACATTTGAGCACAACTCAATGGGGATAAAACGGAGCTCCTTGTCCTGACTGCTCAACATCCACTAGATTCAATCAAGATTGGAGCTGACATTATTAAAGCTAGTAAATCTGCCAAGAACATTGGTGTTTGGCTTGATGGTGTGCTTTCTATGGATGAACAAATAAATAACATCTGTAAAACTGCCTTTTTCCACATTTGTAACTTAGCTAAAACTAGAAAGTTCCTTTCGCACCGTCAGTGTGAAATACTTATTCATGCCTTTATTTCATTGATGCTGGAATATTGTAACGTTCTTCTATCTGGCCTACAGCAGTCACAAATTACTAGACTACAACATGTACAAAATTCAGTTGCCCGCCTGCTTACAGCCACCAGCAGATATGATCGTGTTACTCCTATACTTAGAAGCCTACATTGGCTGCCTGTGTCCGCCCGTAATGTATTAAATGGTGTGAGTCCTCTGTATCTTAGTGAACTGTTAAGACGGTACATTCCTAATAGAAATTTAAGATCTTCTAAGGAAACACTCTTAATGGTACCTAAATGCAATCTTAAACATACGAATATAGAGCGTTCGCTCATAGAGCTCCTACTCTGTGGAACGCCTTGCCGGATGATATTAGGCAAGTGGACCCTTTAACAACAATTTAGTCTAAACTTAAAACCCATTTATTTAAGCAGTTGTAGTTTTTGCTTTTATTCATTTTTCACTAGATGTTTAATTCACTTTAATTCTTGATTGATGATATTTTTCTATCACTATCATTGTAAAGCACCGCTGGATCTTTGAGCAGTGTTGCGCCATATAAGCTATGTATTGTGTTGTATCAATACAATAATACTCATTTGAGAGGTGGAAATGCTGGTAGGTGATAATTTTTTTCAATTCAACTACCAGTAGATTTCAAAATCTTCGAAGACATGTAACCAGCACCTCCCTAATACCAACAGTGACGCCTGTTTAACCCATTGACAAAATGGGTGTCGGCACGTGTAACACGTGCCAACAAAAAGTCAAAATTTTGGAGAAACCAAGAAGGCAAACACAATGTGCAGTAAATTTTTAAAAATCAGCTTTTCCAAAAAACAAGCTCCAGTGGAAGAGGACTAATTAAAGAACTTATTTCCAGCAAAAAAAGCGATAGGTGTATATTACGTTTTAACTCAAAAATCAAGATGAAAGATAAAAATCACTAATTATTTTCGCATGTGTGAAAATGGGCATGTGGATCATACTTCAAAAGGGAATATGCAAATTTGTCCATGAGTGAAAAGATCTCGAGTTCCATGGAATCTATCAATAGGAAGCAAGACTAAAATGGCCAAGAAATATTGCAGGACGTCAGATTTATTCAAGACAGCTTTTTATTTGCTCTTATAAGCAAAAAACATAAGAATTTCTTATGAGTACAAAGCCCACGCGGTAAAATCCATCATGCTTAGATCGTTGTTTACTTGCCTTCATGGCCAGAAATTGTGCAGCATCATGTTGAAAATTCTGAAAAAACTTCAATTTGAGGAAAAATCTTCTATTAAACTATACTTTTTGAACACATTGTTGCTCAAACATAATATTTACCGGGCCCTCAAATCGTCAAATTGTCGCCAGGCCCTGCTTGAAGTCCGAAAGCTCGGTTTTTCACTTTACATCCATAATTCGCATCACTTTAGAGAATCGAAGTGTTGTTGACTCGAGAGCTTATTCTGTCACCTTTAAGACCTGGATAGCCATTCCTTTCCAAGCAGAGTATTCTATAGCATTGTTACTTTACTTTCTTAATTCCACAAGGTCTAACTCGATCGCAAATGAATGAAAAATCCGACCTGAAAATTTTGAGGGTCGGCCGCTCGGACGCCATATTTTCAAATTTGATCATTTAGTGAAGACACAGAGTAATGCCCCTCTAGTACCCCCTAAAGTCGACAAAATAAATGCGCAAACAACGGCTTCTGATTGGCTTATTGATTTCCAAACTATAGAGGAAGGTTGGGAACAAAACTATACTTAGTAGGGAAGGTAGGGGGAAAGTGTTCTCGCGCGAGGAGATTGCAAGGTTACGGGCGGTTCAGGTTTCAATGTGTTGAGGCAAAATCAACAGATTACCCACAGGTACACAGCCAGAAATTACAGTAACACTAGAATTGTCAGCTAAACAAAATCCTGGTCAATTTACATTTTCAGCTCAGTTAATAAACTCAAATCCTAATGGATTGGGCTCTATCCATTGAGCCAACTCCCGGATAGCTCAAGGGATAGAGCGCTGGACTGATGCGAGGGAGGTTGAAGGTTCGAGCCCCAGCCGGACCAACACTCAAGGTCTTAAAATAATTGAGAAGAATATGCTGCCTTTCTATAACATCAAGAAATGGTTTAGTTATTCTAGTCTTCTCAGATAGGGACAAATAAATGGAGGTCCCGTCTCCTGGAGGGTTAGGAGACGTTAATTTCCCACGCATGAGATTACTGTGTCGTGGATGTCTTCCCCTGGGGTGGGATGGGTTGGTTGTTGTCTTGCATTTCATACATGAGCCTCTGGCATGGGCAATATGGGTAACCATGCCCCACATAAAAGACATTAAACTTTGATTACTATTACTATTACTTACTATAATGAAACAAAGTACCACATAGGAAACATTGAGTGACAAGTGGAAGCAATTCCACCCCTTACAAGTTCTCACTGTTGCACAAATACATACCTTCAGCTTCCTCTGTTTGAACAGTGGGTAGCTCTTCTAAATCATTCCCTTGACTGAAAAATTAATGATCAAGAAACATCAGGAAACATTTCTCAAATATGTGAAGCACTTATTGTGCATCAGATTTCAGAGAACTTTAACGCTACAGCAACACATTGAATTCTCCTCCTAAAATTGTAAAGGCCTAAATGACAGTATTTTTCATGTTGTAGACACAGAGAATGTTCTCCTTTTACAAGACACTATTCCCCAGCTACAATGTGATTCTAATCAGTACAAACCTGCTTGTGATTGCCACCTGTGGCACCCATTGGACCTGCAAAACAATTAGAAAAAAGCAACTTCCTTGGATCTTTTCTATGATAGTCTAACCTCAACAAGAGAACAATGCAATGTAAAATAGTAAGGTAAAGTCACACTTGAGCCAAATGGCTCATCCAGTCCAAGCTTATCCCAGCATCTTAACCCTTTACAAGCAAATATCAGTTGGCATATTCACCATACTGTTCTCTGTACAATTCAAAGAATGCTGGCAAGGAGAATTTGTTAAAAAATCAAGAGCTTTTTAAATGGGTGATCATTTCCCTAATTCCTATGACCTTACCCCATTAACTCCCAGAAGTGATTAACCTGTAATTTCTCCCTAGAATATCCATACATGATCCAGCAAACGGGTAATGAGAATACTCAAACTTATCAGTTAGAAGTTGTTACCTTGATTGAACACCAAATTCTCATAACCAATTTACAAGGAAATGTGAGGCTGCCAGAGGGGAGAATTGATTATCAGATCTTGGTAGTTTAAGTCATTCTTAGGGGTCAAAGGATGGAGCATGGAAGCATGGACCATCAAGGAGTACCCATTATTTCCTCTCCCCCCCCCCGATAGGATCCAGATCCACCCCAAGCTTACCCTCCACAGTTTACATTCCTGGGTTGGAAAGAGGCACTGTGAACAAAGAGTGCTTTGCCCCAGAACTAAACCCAATGACCCTGACAGGATCATTGAGACAACAGAATTCATTCCATTAATCAAACCCTGACTCCCTCTGCAATAAAACATGAATAAGTCACAAAGAAATAAGTTGTACCTCTTGAAGCTGATTATAATCCATGTGCTTGTATTTACATTTTGGTTTCTTGCATTTTCCAGTGTTCAGTTGCTCAAAACAGTAACCTTTAGGATAAGGTTTCCTTGTTCCTGATTTTGCAAGATTTGGCTGTGGCAACCCGTCAGGGCTTGTTGTCACCAAAACCTTTCGTCCATGCAATGTTTCTTCACCATGGAAAGGACTTTTCCTCTTACTTGATGTTTGTGAATCTGAATCTGAATCTGGCATTGATGGAGAGTGGGTTGGTCTTAAAACAGCTAGTCTTGCTTTCTCTACTTCAGTTATTGATCTGTTACTGGCATTGTTCTGATTATCACCTAGCACAGCATTGTGTTGATATGAAGCTTCGGCAGCATGAGGGGTAGACTCACTCTTTAATACTTCTCTTGTCCTTGCAACTGGACGAAATTGACTTGTCATCCCATCACTTAAACTCAGCTGCTCATTTGTGCTGCGCGAATTATCCTTCATTCGTTCAAACCACCTGGGTGACAGCCTATCTGACGCCCTTTTCGGCTGAAGTCGTGATTCACACATGGAGTTTTCAGACACTCTGTTATGATTGGCATCTTGGCCACTGTTGTGAGATCTCTTGGACTGATGTCGCTGAGGTAATTTGCCACTTTCTTGAGAAGCGCGAGAGGCGTGTTGCACTGGAGGACCATGGCTGTTATACTCTGGCACATTTTCACCTGGAACTGGTGGGGGATTTACCAACATTTCAACAGTTTTTGCTATATTATCTTTCATGGCTGCATCTAGTTGGGCTTGAGCTTGCCAAATGGGTTGTAGAACAGGAGACATTAGCTCTGTCCCTGGGAGAGGGAGGAGTCCATCCCCAGTATTGAACAAAGGTATACCTGGCACCCCAAGCACTGGTTGAACTGGTCCACTCACACCAACACTCCTCTCTCTTCTTGGGCCCAGCCTGGATCGGCATCCACCTCTTCTTGAAAAACTGTCTCCAGCTTTCCTTACACCCGTTACACCCCTTCCTGCTGAAGGCCTCTTGGTCCTTCTGCCATCCTTTTTGCAAGTAGATGACCAGTTAGTTCTGTGTCGTGATCTAGGCGAAACTTGTTCGTGTTGGGACCTTTCTTTGTCAGCCTCTTTATTCTTATCTTGCTCTTGAGTTTCATCAGTCTGTAGTTCTTCTTTAGTTTTCACTGGGCTACTTGAACTTCCTTGTGACTGTTTCTGTTTCGTGCCATTTGTTGGCAGTCTTCGATCTCTTGATTCACTTCCAGCTCTTTTTACAGAACCCCTAGAAAAAAACAATTCAGAAAAAATGATTTTCACCATTGCATTTTCATATACATGTGTACATACTGAGATTTTCTCACTTGTGGTACTCTAAATACAATAATATTCATTTCAGAAGTGGAAATACAGGTAGGTGAGAATTTTTTTCTATTCAACTATACAATACAAAACAATACCATGTTCTTTATTTCAAGAGGGTAAATACATGATTAACCCAGTAAAGAGTTTTCTAAGACATGGCCCTCTGTAAACCCACCCATCCCACCCAGGGGAGGACATCCATCACACAGTTGTCTCGTGTGGTCCTACCCCAACCCTGCAGGAGATGGGGCCTCCATTTATTCGTCCCTATCCGAGACGACTGGAGTATCTAACCATTTCTTGATGTTATAGAAAGGCAGCAAATTCCTCTCAATTATTTTAAGACTCCGAGTGTTGGTCCAGCCAAGGTTCAAACCCTCAACCTCCCACACAACAGTCCAGCGCTCTATCCATTGAGCTAATCAGGAGACGGGCAACTATCCGTAGATTTCAAAATTGTCACATAACCCGCACATCCCTGCTACCTGCAGTGGCACGTGTTTAAGGCAAAATCAACAGATTACCCATGGGTAAAATGCCAGAAATTACGGTACCCACTCATCAGTTGGTATCAGAAATCTTGCTGATCCAATTTCCAATACTACCAACTCATACCTAGATACCATATGGGCAAACTTTCCATGAAGTACAGGTATTCTACATATAAGTGATAATTTACTGTAACTGATGTAGAAGTTCTCGTATTCTCCTTGACACCATTTATCATTGTTGTACTTGATCAAGACAAATATATGAGTTATTGAGCAAGTATGAGGTTAAGATGGCTACATATTGGTCACCCTCTCTTTTTGTGTTTTGAGAGGCCAATAAGCTTTCCAGGTGTTCTCCCAAACATCCCGCATGGCTTTATCACGTTAATGAGCCAGGAAATACATGCTCCATTGCTTAACTAGGGTTTCTTCAAGTTTTAGAACACGAGGATGTTAAATGTATTTCATAGTAAACAGCATACAATCAATCAATATTGTGCCCTCTTTTTGGCTTCTGTTGATACTAAAGTAGCTTGTGAAACTGATCTTTGTAACTTTATGATAAACCATTTCTGCCACCAGACATCAGAGAATGGGGATGTGGGAGTGTTTCAAATGTGCAGCTTGGCTCACAACACATTTATGGAGCCCAGGTATATTAACTTAGTTAAAACAAGATAAATTGCATATAAAGTACCTTGTTCTGATTCCATCACTGTTCACTCCCAGGTCATCTTCTTCATCAAATAAGGAATCATCAGGATGCAGTGATATTTCATCATCTTCTTCTTCCTCCTCAGCATTGTCTTGCTTATGTGGTACATCACTATAATCCATATAAGGGTGGAATGTTGCCTCATCATTATGGGGGTAATTATGAGTCTTTGGGGAATCTTGGTGCATTTCATCTTCATTATCTTCAAGCAAGATGTCCTCATCATAACAACTGTCAACTTCATCATCGTCATTATTATTGAGTAAGCCATCAAAATCCATCTCTGAACTTTGCTTGGAGCTGTAAAAATCATGCATAAAACAAAGTTACCACTGACTTCCCTGCGGGGTGCAAAAATCAACTTAGTACAAAAAAAAAGAAGTTATGTATTAATTAAATTCTTGTAATAGGTGTACAGACTGTATCTAGCATAAAGTGCATTAAATCAGGTTTTTAAATTTTCTTTTTTTCTAATAATAATAATAATAATGTTTATTCCTTATATTGCACAGGCTAACATGCAATAAAAGATATGATCGAATGTGCATTACAACATTCAAAATCTTACAGCAATGGGGCTAATCCTAATGATGATAGTAATAATAATAATTTACAATTTTCCGGAAAAACAAAGGTAAAATATGAATTAATAAAAGAACTAATAGAAAGCTAAATTAAAAAATGTGTCTTTAGTAAAACTTTAAAAGTATCCAATGATTGACACTGTCTAATTTCCAGAGGTAGTCAGTTCCATACTTTGGGCGCAGCATGTTTGAACGAAGGTGTTATTGATTAGGAGTATGCCCCGGTGGGATCTCAACTGATACAGCGAACTCACTTTGATTTTTATCAAGTCTGAGAGATATTGCGGTGCGATGCCGTAGATACATATTATATAGGATGCATTGGCTTAGTTGATACGAAATACAGTATCAATACAGAGTATGAAGAAAACCAAAGGACACCCTTCCTATGGCCTAAAATCCTTGCAACCTGAACACATACCTGAAGGATGCCACACTGTATGGATGCTTGGCTGACAAAGTTTTATTTTCCATTGGTGACAGTGACCCTGGTAATGCTTTGATGGGAACTGTCAACTTTTTAAGCGGTGGTCTGGGTTTTACCGCACACAATGGATGGCCAGACAAAGCGCTTGATTTTGTTTTAGTGCTCAAGGTGCTAACAGCTGATTCATGTGTGCTACTCGCCACAATTTCTGCCCCATTAAGAACATTATCTGCTAAAGAATAAAGCAATCAATTTTTACTTCTTTGCCCTTGCTCGAGTCAAATTAATACCTGGATCAGTTCTTTCAGTAAATACCCTATACTAGCCATTCCCCTAAGGCCATTCTATTGTATTACAAAGCCTTAGGTCTCGGAGCAGGCAGTGTGCACACTCTGATTACTTTGCATCATGGTCATAACACAAAAATTGAGTCATTTGCATCTTGACACAGGAGTGAACATCTTTGGTGGCAGCGAGATGCGGTGTGAATATACATGGATTATGATGGGGATTCACTGTCTGTTGCTATTCCTTCAAAAGTTAAAATGTTTGACGGGCCTGCACAACTCCTGTCATTCCTCCGTGACGAATTCGTTCTTAAGAGGCAACTGACGTTACTTAGAAAGATTCAAAACTGCAATCTGCCTAAGAATCTCGACACAAATGGCCACAGTTACACTCACAACCGATGGCGGGATGAATAATTTTAAAGTCAGTAATCATATTCCTTGACACGAGTTATTTAACTGTGAATTGACCCTTGACATGCAAATGAATATTAGAGAGAGAGAGAGAGAGAGAGAGACCTTGCAATATACAAACTTTTTCCACCGATCATAAATATGGGATTTGTAAAAGGAGAAGCCCTCCACATCCTAAAGAATAAACGAATTTGTCGCGCTCCATGTCTAGTAAAAATGTACAGAGTTTCAAAATACCCTTCAAAGGCTGCACTCTAAGGAAAATTGAATGGAGCCCAGTGCTCTGAAACTGTGAAATCCAGGGTGCCCAGCATATGCTTTGTACGAAAAAAATTAAAAATTTCCGAGTTGCCCAAGAGCAAAAGTAAGGCACCAGGGGCCACCGGGCACTGTTAAAGCACAGCGATGCCTTTGAGAATAGAGGAAACCTATAGGAGGGTTTGGAGAGATGTGTCTCTGGAGTTATTACTTCAGGAGAGAAGTATACTCTGAAACAAAGAAAATAGTGCACGCACTAAAGACTATATTGCCTTTTGTAACACAATCTCATCTGGCTTTGCCAAACCTCAATAACATACAGATGGAAAATTATCACACCTCAAAACTGACCCTTACTATCACATCGCAAAGGAAAGTCATCAAAAGATATCCTAATAAGAGCTAACCTTTGAGAGTAGAAGATTTAAAAGCCCTCGCACATGGTGGGAGACGCAAAGGCCTATCAACAACTTTCAACAGTCAACTGCCTTTTGCTTTCCGGCTTTCCGATGTGTCGCCTCACTCAAGATAGAGGTTTTCATGGATCAAGTGACTCTTCATTGGTCTAATTTCATTGGTCTAATTAAACCGTCCTTCATTCAGTGATCAAGATAGAACATTTACCCCACAACACTCGCTATTATTTAATTTTCCTTCACTTAGGAAAGTAGATTTACAACACAACTGATAAATGCCCTTGCAGTAGTAACGCTATGTAACGCAACACACTAAGCACAACAATGGGCCTTTTCACTCCACAAAAGGGTCTCAAACATCACTTAAAATGCATAGAACATTTGTACCATTGGAGCACGTTTGGTCAGAGCTGTTGAACAAGGTTCAAGTGGCCATACAAATCTTTGAAAGGCTTCGAACTACGACGTACAACGAATTTGATCTGCTCGAAAACCGGTCTCAAATTACATGCTAAAATACAGTGCTTGCGTTTGTCCTCAGGAACGATATAATACGTGACAAATACGCACGAAAAATACTTCTACACGTTCAGAATATATCAAATTATATTTACCTACAGTGAAAGGATAAAGAAATGGCCTAACTTTTACGGAATATTCAGTCAATCTCTAACCATTTCAACCGCTTTTACCGCCATATTGAAAATAACGCTACCACAATGCAATGCGATTGGAGTGCGCACACCGCCTAGTCTCAGAGGTAGTCGAATTGTTCTCACTGAACGCATGTGGAGTGTGCGGTTCCACAGAAATCGTGCTTATTTTCTGTGCAACTGTCCCTGGTGCTTTCTACTCCACCAGAGAGCTTCTAAAATACAATACTCACTTGAATAATTGCTTCAATGAATTGTAATCGGAAACCATCTACGCCTCACTGCAGACATAACGCCGCTGAGCTACAGAATACTCTAAAGAGTTTTCACAAGACAGAGATTCCCAATATTGCTACACCAAGCATTTAAAGTTACTCATTTTCCGCTTTAAGGGCAATCTCAAGAGTCAGTACATGACAGAAGCTAAAAATACAGCGCATGGAACAAAGCGTTCGCAGCAATCGAGACCATAGTAACTATATGTGTAATGTCCATATCATCCAGTTAAAATCTTGACAAATTTTCTCCGTTAGTTCGAAACCTCTGCAGTTTCCTCCAACGCACTTGTTGTTTTTAGATATTTCAGATGCAGATGTCTGTGTCTTACCTGAGTCAATGGCATTTGGAGAGCTGCTGGCAGAGACCTCATCATTCACAGCATCGTGGTCTAGATCATGAGATGCATTTGTAGCAGTGTCCGTGGAAGTCCTCTTCATTCGTTCCTGCTTTTCGCGCATAATTTCATCCAGAGACTTAACTGTAACGTTATCCAGCTCAGTAGATTCTGCTGTAAATGGAAACCCGGTGCATAAGAAATTGTTGGCAGAAATTCTAGATATAACACACGACTATTTACAACTCAAAATTTTACCGGTTTTGCGGTTGATTACAATCTTTCGAGTCTGACGCGCAGTAACAGGCGGTTTAAAGCGAGATGAGTTACTATCTTCATTCGGCACAGTTACAACCAGGTCTGTGCTCTGAAGGCTACCTTCTTTCCTGGTTCCAAGAGAACGAAGGCCTTTCTTCTTTCCACGACGGGCATTTCCCTCGACCTTCATATCTAGTTCACAGCTATGAAAACGTTCCGAACGCAGAAACCATGTGACAACATGCGCCGGAGTCTCCAATTTAGCGCGAACGATGTTCTCCTTATATGGATATTCCTGGCACTTGAATCTTCACGAAGAGTTCCGAAAACGTCACGAACACGAAGAAAACACGTCTACTGAGAATGAAAAACGAGTGTGTGTTTCGCGAATGATTTGTTTAGTATGAGCTGGTAAGTGAGATTTCCCGTATTCTTGTGTATTTAATATGTCAATACTGGAGGTAACTCTTGCCAATTCTGTTTATAAGCCACGGGAAGTCGATCTTCAAAGGCATCCAATCCTTGCCTCCGACTATCAGTCATACAACATGCATCATTGTTGAATTCTTGATTTAAATGTTGCCATTGAATCAACGGCATGTACATGTGTTTTTCACTGTGTGAAAAGATGTTTACTTCGCTTTTACAACAATAGGAATCCCTTCAAGAAGGCAAAGCCATCAGCAAAGCAGACCGTAAGTACAAATTATTTTTGAATTTTTATCTTCGCCCACAACTCTTAAATAAGGAGAAACCTCTCGAAGTCTTGCTGTAATGCTTTAATAGGTTTACTCCTAAAACAGTTAAAACTATACTAGGAGTATAGTTCTTCCAGCATTCCATGCACAGGGGGCTAATACGCAGGAAAACAGACCAAGAGAGAGGACTTTTTGAAAAATTCAAGTAAACACGATAGGTCAGGTTCTCTATATAAAGTTAAGTTTCAGCACGTGACAGGTGTTAAGAGTATTAATCAGTGTCAAAAACAACGTTATATCCTAGAAAACCGTAACTGATTTGTTTATAAGCTAGCCGTATCTGAACCTGGGAACCCAGATTGGAGGTGTCGTTCACACCTTGGTTTGAAATAATTACCGTCCGGGTTGTTCAAAGGTGGGTTAAGGTAACCCAGGGTTTAAGTGTGAAATCTGATTTCAGATCTGAAAGCCGTAAAATAAAATCCAGTGGAATTCTTGTTGTCTACAATTTGATGATTGGATGCTCTAAAAAATATAGGGAATATTATCCTACAAATGATTTTTAAACAAAGGAGTAAAGAACCCCAGATTAAAAAAAATTAACTTTGGGTTTTTACTAATCAGCCTTTGAACAATAAGGCCCTGGTTTTTACTGCTCATGGAGGAACCTGGAACAAGTTCTGACTGAAAGGGCCTCTTGGCCCCAGTACAGATTTTACCCATCTACTTAATAGGCCTGTTGCAGTTAGAGATCACGTGCTTAGATGCCACATAGCAATGCCATACTGGTGAGCAAGCACTCCAGTGATCTCAGACAGTATGGAGGTCACAGAGGTCTGCATTCAAACAAAGAATAGAGCGGATAACAGGTCAAAAGGTATCCCAATTCGAGAAATCCAGTAAGATGTAATCAACAGCTTCCCCGGAGTGTATCAGCAGCAAAATCACACCAAAATTCATTTTTCGCTGATACACTCCTAGGAAGCTGATGATTAAAACTTACAAGATTTCTCAAATTGAGATACTGTTTAACTTGTTATCTGCTGTATTCTTTGTTTGAACGCAGACCTCTGTGATCTCTATTTTGTCTGAGATCACTGGAGTGCTTGCTCTCCAGTATGGCATTGCTATGCGGTATCTAAGCACGTGATCTCTAACTGCAAAAGGCCTATTGCTTGTGAATACCTTGGATTACAATAATACCTATAGTACCAGCAATTAAACAAGGTGTAACTCTTCAAAGGTTGATTGGAGCACATGAAGGTACCTGGGCCTGACTGTTCAACACACAAATACCATAATGATTCAATTTGGCATCCCAGTTCCTATAAGCCCCTCTCTGATGTAAATGTCCTCCTCAAGCTTGTTTTTTTGTTTTTTTGTTTTTTTTTTTTTCATTAGCTCCTCTATTGCATAAGCACCCTCATTTTAATAAGCAACCCTGTTCTATTTCAGCATTAGCACTGCTAGAGTACCTTCCCTACCAATAAAATGATATCGATCAGAATATTTGTTACTTTTTCCATTTCTACCTTAGTTTGTTCCTTTTTTGATAAATATCAAAGATTCATTTTACACTTTCTGCTGTTTAACAAAAACAAAATAAGCATCCTGTCCCCTAATAAGTGCCCTGCTTTACCCCTTTAACTCCCAGAAATTATTAACATGTAACTTCTCCCTATAATATCCATACATTATCCAGCAAACAGGTAATGAGAATACTCAAACTTATCAGGTAGAAGTTGTTACTTTGATTGAACACCAAATTCTCATAACCAATTTACAAGGAAATCATAGTAGCTAGAGGGGAGAATTCATAATCAGATCTAGGAAGTGAAAGGTTTATAAATGAGCACCATCCTCAGCAGATACTAGACATGGGTGCTAAATTGAATCATTATTATAGTAAGCCAACCCAGGGTTAAAGTAAATTTTTTCTTCAGTCTTCTACACTGTACCCTGGCAGGGAATTATCTTATTTGTTTCTCATTTCCCCTGGTTCTTGCCATATTGTTAAAATAACCCAAAGTATCATTAACCTTGATAAATATAATGGGACATAAAAACCACAGACAAACTTGGGAATTTCACAAAGGTTTCCTGATAGAATAAAACTCAATTTCAAATTTAACTCATTTTGATTCTGACGTGTAACTGATAAGTGTACCCATATTTGAGTTATCAGTAATCAATTTCCACATTTTTATGTGAGTATGAGGAATTTTGTTTTTTTCAAATTAGGTCCCTATTGGAGGCCAGTTATCCAAACATAGGTTATATTAATTTTTAAACAGCCAAAATAATAGGTTTGTTTCCAACTTGAACAAGATTATCAATATGAAGTGTTCTTACATTGGGAGGATTCTTGCTTTTTAATGATAATTTAAGGCCTGAAGCAGTTTACGCAAACAGAGATTTATTAATTTCATTTTCAAAAATTCAATGTACCTAATCCAAAGTGAAATTCTGACTTTGTTTACGATCAAAACACAAAGAAACATTTATCTGATCGGCTTCATTTCAATATCAAAGACTTAGGAGCATCAATATTCAAAGGTTTTGATACAGGCAGGTGTGAATTGAATGTAGTTTGTGAAAAATGTTTAGCTGCATTGGAAAGAGGGCTAGAGTCAGAAGAAAGTATAATACACTTTGGGTGAGATTTCCTTTATGGCAAAGGATGATTTTAGAGAAGTTTTGACATAATTTATCTAACATTCAAGCCAATATCTGGTTTTGGAAACCATAAACAACCAATGAAATTAGAATTCAAGATTTGGACTAAATGTTGATTTTGTGTACAAATTCAGTCAATAACCAGCTCAAAAATTTATTTATTTTTATAAATTCTGTCAGTGTTTTCTAAAAGAACTAAGCCGTAATTCTCATTCAAAGCCATTTATAAATTACAGTACCATCAGTTAACCCTTAAACTTAATTCATTATGGCAATATCATATATTGGTTTTAATCCGTAATATTTTTTTCCTTTCCTCAGGGCGACAGAGAATTTGAGAGAGAAGTGGCAAGGTTTAACCAGTAAGAGTTTTAAGCTAAAGAAATCTTACTATGTGTGGGATAACAGACATCAATAATGGTTTACTTCATTCAATGTTATACACTAACAACTTTCACACAACATTTTTTTTTTTTTTTGGCTATAACTCATGATTAAAATTGATATATAGGCAATTTATTCTCTCACCAGTATAAGATGTAGATGATTGCTTTTGTTGGTCAAATCCTGAGAAGAATGAGACATTCTTATTAAAATTTTTCCTGAATGTCTTAAGTGATTATCTCTTTTGTTTTGTGAATATTTCTTACATTTATGGTAAAGGCTGATAGTTTGTAAAGAAACTGTTTGGGGCTGCGTCGGTGGAGGTGACAAAATAATTTGAATATATCAACAAAGTTGAAATGGTAAATATTGGCTACCGTTACGATTATAAGAGGAATTGTGCTCATCTTTCAAACCGGCAGTCTAACTCCCACAGGGATCAACGAACCCTTTTCATTCCACTAATTTATTCGTGTTTTTCTCTTTGCCATGTTCCCACCAATCAGGTAGCCCCTTTTTCTGCCTTTAAAAGTACAGTCACACAACCCACAATTCCTCTATTCGCTCCGACGAAGGGCTAACGCTCAAAACGTCAGCTTTTATAATGGTAACAGTGGCCAATTTACCATTTCAACTTTGTTGATATATTCAAATTATATCTTATATTTACATTCAGATTGGAGGGAGCAACTAAGAAAATTTACAAAGACACTAGAAAACATGGCGATGCTCTTGCAGGTGAGTTGAATCCTTTGAGTTGACTACTTTTTAGTTTAAGGAATACAAAAGTGGTCAAATATAAAATCTTTTCTCTATCTTTTTTTTTTTATCTTTCTCACCACCTCAGCCCTGTCAAAATCTGAACTACGGATTTACCAAGATCTGGCTGCAAGTCCTGTTTCTCAGGAGGAAATGTTTGGGGAACCTGTAAGACATAACATTTTATTTCTATTGTTACTGAATGGGATTTATGTATTCAAATGGAAACATATAATACTGGTAAAATACAACCAGTGAAGGTGACTCAAGGGACCTGATTTGAGATGTCAGTGATACATGCTGTTTCCCTCTTTACTAAGAAGAAGCATTGAGAGAGCTAAATTTTTCTTGCAAAATAATATCTTTGATAATAAAAATTAACGGTAAAAAACTACGACGTTTCGAAGTCTGCATGACCTCATTATCAAGTAAAATGTTAAAACTGATGTAAAATTGTAGCTCAGAGATTATATACAAATAAAATGTGATAACTTCATTAGAATAATGAGCGTTCATTGTTATTGGTGTTTAGCAT